ATTCAACTGAATCCACTGGAGGAGAATAAAGAGGGAGCCTGACAAAGCCTCTGACAAGAACTAAAGGCCCCCTGGAGCCGGTGCAGGAGGAGCAGGAGGCAGCATGCTGGAACAGGGCTAGAACGCAGGAGACAGACATGAGGACAACCTCCAGGACTAGACAGGAAGCCTGTGCAGGGGCCCAGGGTGGAGGAGACCAGACCAGATGGGGGAGGGAGCCTGGGAATGGGGAGTTGCTGCAGACTCTGATGTGGTTGCATGCCCTGGTGATTTGTGGTTTGTAGAGACTGCTCTGATGCTGTGAGAAGACATTGGGAGGGGCAAGAAAGGGAATCAGAAGACATTTGCATTTGGACTAGCTTGGTAAAAGTGGACTAGCTTTGGACAACAGAGAGATGTGCAACTTCGAAGTACAAAGTAGAAAAAATACAAGCTCATGGCTGAAGGCCAGAGTCAGCCAGGGGAGTAGGGATCTGGGATGAAAGCCAGCTTGCAGCATCTGCAGGGTGGAGGGCAGTGCCACCTGCTCGGACAGGCAAGGCTGGGGAATAACCGGGGACTCGGGAGATCCCCCTTGGACATGTTCAGTGGGGTGTGTCTTACCTGTGAAATAAAGATAATTCCACCAGCCTGAATGTTTTGTGATGAGTGGAAATAAATATGCAAAGTACTTCAAGAAATATAGTAGGAGCTCAATAATAATATTATTATTACTAGAGGCCCGGTGCACAAAATTCATGCATGGTGGCGGGAACAACTCACCTGCCTGCCTGATCACCCCTAACCACCTGCCAGCCTGCCTGATCGCCCCTAACTGCCTCAGCCCCTGCCACCAGGACTTCGTCCGAAAGGTTGTCTGAAAGGACGTCTGGAAGGTCGTTCGGCTGTCCAGTCTAATTAGCATATTATGCTTTTATTGTTATACATTTATCAAACATCAGAATATTTGTTGGTACACTGAACACGTTTAAGCGAGTATTTCTTCTTTTTTTCCTCCTAAAAACAGCATTTTTTGATGCCGGACTGGATGATGCCCATCACAAGAGCCCAACCTCAAAGATCTTACACCGGGATCTCCTCTGTGCCCAACTCTGATGCCGAATGCCTGACACTGCACACTTGATCCACGCTGCTCTGCTTTAATGGCTGGAAACGCTTGGAACATGAGACTGTGTCCCCCAGCACTGTGTGTGAATGAGATTAGTAAATTCCAACCTTGTAGCCAGTTCTTCCCCTCTTTGTCTCACCTCTGCATTTCTCCAGCCCAGGAGGCTCCTCGCCATTTCCCAGTACAGATCCAACCCCCACAATTTCGCTACCCCTGAGAGTCAAACTCATGTCACAAAGAAAATGCATCTCACCCTTAAAAATCAGTGAGTCAAAGGAGACCCCCTGCTGGTGAGAGGAAGGGGGTGATGGCCGGGGAAATCCAATCGCTGACATGCATTTTAAATGACTTAATATGATCAAGAACACCACCCAGTTTGCACCAGGAGAATTCCGATGAGCTCCGAGGAATTAAGTGATTCCAAGAATGTTTGCTGGGAGAATCTGAAGTCATTGGGGAGCAAGCAAAACATCCCTTTGAGTAAACTATTCCCTGACCTCCAGACAGCTCAGCCTCCGGCACCATTCACTGTGGGCTGGGGGCAGGGGGACCTTGACCTCAGAAGTGTTACTGCCAGGCAAGCAGGGGAGTAATGACTGTGGCTGAGGGACAAGGAAATCCGGGAAAAGAAAGCCATTCAGCAGCTCCAAAGCACCTAGGAAACAAAGATGGGAGTGCATCACAGCAGCCTCAGCAAGGAACAAGCCAGCCTGTTTGTTCCAGGACCACAAGCAGAGGCGGGTGAGGGCCAGAGTGAACGCCTGGGGGACTCTCAGGAGGTGGGGAGCTCAGCCTGCAGGGGGCAGCATTCCTAACCAGAAGCCGGTCATCACCATCCAGCCGGAACACTGGGTGCAGCAGGGGAGGGGCGAAGGGCAGAGAGCAGACTGAGCCAGGCAGTGTCTATTCTGATGGAACCAGACTCCCCAGCTCACCAGGAAGACTAGCTGCTCGCCGGCCTCTCCGATCAGGGAGAAAGAAGGTGATCATCAGGCTGAGAAACATTCGGTGTTACTAGAACTGGTGCAAATGTCAGTCTGCAGCTGCAGTCACAGGTCAAAGAAAGGGGAGGCAATCCCATCATCCTCTCCTCAAAGCTTCCTCCAAAGGACTCTGCATGCAGCCCTCGGTCCACACTGCTGTGTCACCGGCACCATGCTAGACAGAAGGGTGGCGATCCATCTATACATTATCTCCCGCATAAGCCATTCAGACATTCAAGGACTTGGATGATCCTGCCGGGAGCACCGCTGAGGGAGGAGGCCAGCCCTGGGAGGGACGGGGGAGCAAGCCTTTCCGTCGCACAGCCTGTACCGAAGGAGCAGGCCTCGTTTGTGCCTTCTAAAATGAAATTTGAAAGAAGCAAGGGTTGAGGAGTTTTTAATTTATGTTTCATTTTATTTTTGAGACACAGCAGGATGTAATCAGCTTAGGAGTTCAATAGAGACATCCGTCTGCTTCTACCTGAGACCTCCCGGCTTGCTCTGCCCAGCAGAGTGCTTTTTAATAAAGCAAGAGGAGAGATACACAAACATGCACACCCAGGAAGAAAAGTGGGGCCAGCGCAGGGCCCTGCTGCACCTCCCCTCCGTCCCTGACTCCCTGGCACCCAGACTAGAGGCCTTGTTTCTCCTATAGGTGAGAACCAAGGGCCTGCTTGCAGCCAAACTTCATCTAACTGTCACGGCAGTGGGAAGGGGGTGGGGGCACAGCTTCTAGAAAGAAAAGTCCTCAAGATTGGGGTCTCCCCCGTACTGCCCTGGTTACGGATTCTCAATGCTGCTGCCACTTTTGGACACAAAAGACCTGGAAGAAGCATTCAGTCGGTCAGTCAGTGGGTGTTTAGTGAGCACCTGCTTTGTGCCAAGCCCTTGGCTAAATGATAAAGAGATAAAACATGATAGACACAAGTTACATGCAAGTCAGAGAGGAGGACTAGAACAAGCAAGCACACAAATGAGCAAGGGAAATGGAGAAAAGGTTAAGGGCTGCGAAAAAGACAAGTGGGAGGATGTAAGGTAGGGTCACTGTGGGGGGGCACTTGCCACAGTAGTCAGGAGGGCCTCTCTAACATGACACTTGACACTTGGGTCATAACCTGGAGGCTATGAAGAAGGCAGCTTTCGGCACAGGGAGCAGAAAATGCAGCATCGGCCCCAGCATGCCTTGCGATGATGCCAGCTCCAGCCATGCCGGGTGCAAAGAGAAAACAGACAGGCGTAAGGCATTGTGGACCAGGCAGCTAGCTCTGCCTCCCCCACTTGCCGGACAGGGTGCACACATGTGCCTGTGTGTTTATGTGTAAGATGCCCCCCATTCCTTCGACGCTGGAGCTGCCCATCTGGCTTTTCTTCGCCAACCCAAAGCAGACCCAGAGCGTGGAAATACATGACCGGGTTAACATGTCAACCCAGTTCACAGGCCATGGGAAACCATTCTGCGCCGGCATCAGGGCTTTCTGTCCTTCACTCTGAGTGAAGCATCACCCGCTCCCCCTCCGTGCTATTAGGGAGACCCATGGGGAGCAAGGCACCTTTCCCTCCCCTCATGGAGAGCAGACACATTCCCGCACATTGCTCCAGGAGCCTGGATTTATGCTGGGTCACTGCGCCCCATTAGGGTTGCTATGGTTACGCCAGGCCTGGGTTACCTGGACTTTTTTCTTATTTTTATGCCAATGTTTGTTTGGGGAGAAGAGGGTTTCTTATTTTGTTTGTTTGTTTTTCTTTTAAAACATTTTTTACTTGTCTGTTCATGGCTTTTATTTACCTGGAGTTTTGCTTGCTGGACGCAGGGGCCACAACTGCTTTGCTGCTTCTGTAATTTGCCAGGAAAGTGGCAGAGAGGTCCTAAAGGTAGAAATGCCACACAAGACTCCCAAGTTTAGAAAGACTGCGGTGGGAGGAATACTCCAGCCACCTGGAAAACTCAGGCTCTTTCCTAAACCCACTAGCCTGTGCTCCAGCAGGGCAGGCCCCAGTCTGACACATCTCCACCTCCTCCGGCACCTCAGCGTTAAGCCACAAACGTCTAGCTAGCACCTCAAATGCCAACACCAACCCCTACATAATCCGAAGGAGATTCAGAGGCAGGGCTACTCAGAGGTGAGCAATGGGGCTCCGTCCCCTGTATTCCTGCAAGACATTCAGGAAAATCAACTCGCCAAGGGAGGGAGGGCTCCTGGAGAGAATGGGCATGGCAGTTACCCTGGGCAATGCCTGCGCAGGGCCAGAAAAGAGGGTCGGAAAGGCCCCCGGCCCCTGTATTACACATGAGCGTATCCTGGGCCCTGCCCTCACGTAGTTTGCCATCCAAATGAGGAAACCAAGCAGGGAAACTCTACCTTAATCTAAATATTAACCTTCAGAGTCTACGCCTTAACCACCAGAGCTGGTATTTCAAACCCACGCCACGCTTGCTCCCACACCCACCACCCACAACACAGGTTAGTAACAGTCTTATCACTCTTTCTCCTTTGGGCCCAGGTAAGGCAGCCCCTACCATCCAGGTGAGGTTTGAAATGAGACCTATTTCCCCGACTTGATGTCATCTGCAAACTTGAAGAATTTAGACCGCCTTCCCCCCTCTTCCCCGCACACACACACACACAGTTGAAATATACCTCTTCTCTCATCTCCACAGACACAAGCCAACTTTCCCCTGTGATTTGGCTCCCAGGTACAACTGACGGTGAAACAGGCACCCACCCACCCTGCTCACTCTGCCAACACCGAGTGTGATCCAGCCCTTCAACTGGCCGACCGGCAGGCAGTCCTGCTTCTGGTAGAGGGCCGGCCCAGAGCAACCGCCCTGACAAACACTGTGCATGTGCAGCGATGGAAGCGAGACAGCATGTCCATCTCCGAATGTCAGCCAGGAGACGCTCACTTACCACTGCTGCTCCGAGGGTCAAGCTCTGGAAATGTGATCAGCCCTCCGTGTTCTGTGAAGGCACAGCTCACCATCCAGAAAACCAAGGCCTCCAAAGGAAACAGAAAATTCTGGTTTTTAAAGAGTAAAACCGACTCCCTCCCCTCGGGTCCCCAGGAGACTCTCATAAAGTCAATCTTCTCATCGAAGCACAAGTTCCACATCCTTTTCTAATTGCCTTAATGGGGGAAAGCGCCCCGTGGACCCTTCCAGGCCTCTCTCTTCAGTCCTGAGAAAATACATTTGATTAATAATCATGTAATTACATTTCCAATTCAATGACCACGATCAGTGGGTGGGGCGACCTAGGACCTTCTAAGATTGAAGTGCGTTGCTAACTCGGACAAGCAGCGGCGTTGGTAAAAAGGGTGTCATTGTGAGTATTGCAATCGCCCTGGTGTGAAATTATTGGAGTCCAAATCATTTTCAGACTTTTTCTAAGGACAAACTTACCTCTATTAAATCAAACGGATGAAATTAGGGAGACAAAGGTAAACAGAAGCTGGTCCCTTAGAAAAGGGGCCTAAGAAGAGACAGCAGAAAAGGCGGCGCTGATTGCTAAAATACCCGTCATCCCCTAACCTCCAGTAACCAGCTGCTGTGCTCAGGGCCTGATACGCTAACTATTTGCCCCACCTGCTTGGCTCGGGTTTGCCAACTGCCCATCATTTGCTTATCTCCTTCACAACCTCATTCGCAGTCCCCAATTATTCAAACACGAACCTAGGCGCTGCTGTGAAGGTATTCTGTAGATGTGATTATAGTCCATAATGAATTGGCTTTACAAAAGGGGTATTATTCTAGAAGAGTGATGGTGAGCCTTTTGAGCTCGGCGTGTCAGCATTTTGAAAAACCCTAACTCAACTCTGGTGCCGTGTCACATATAGAAATTTTTTGATATTTCCAACCATAGTTATACAAAGATTTATATTTTTGATATTTATTTTATATATTTAAATGCCATTTAACAAAGAATAATCAACCAAAAAAATGAGTTCGCATGTCACCTCTGACACGTGTATCATAGGTTCTCCATCACTGTACTAGAATGTAGATGATCTGGGTGGGCCTGGTGCACGCAGATGAAAGACCTTAAGAGCAGAAGTGAGCCTTCCCAGAAGCAGAAGAAATTGCTACCTTAGCCCATGCTCCAGAGTTCCAGCCTGAGCACCCTGTCCACCTACCCCATAGATTTCGCTCTCCTAGCCAGACCATACAACCATGTGAGCCAGTTCCTTCCAATAAACTTCTTAATACATACATCCAAAGATGTAAACTGCCTCTGTTTACTTAGTTGAACCCTGACTGATACATATAAGATACATAGAATTTAGAGTGTTTTCCTTCAATCCACTCACCTTTTTTTACTAAAATATATTTTCTTTGTTCACCAAGTTTATATCCCTGCCACAAGTAGGGTACCACTTGCCATGATGGAAGGAAACCATAAAGATAAATACAATAAAAACAGAAGCAACGCCATGACATTCCAGCTGGATGCTATTGCCTGCCAAAGGCTCCGAGCACGAGGCCCATGCTGACTACTGTAGAAAGAACCTGAGAGAGAGCTGATCTGGTGCTGGGATGAGTCTGAGTCATGGACCAAGTCTCAGGGAGATGCCGATCAGAGGAATGATACACAACTGAGAAGAGAACACATTTCTCACCATGTGCTCCATGCTATTTGATGTGATGTCCATGCATGTCCCATCCGAAACCCTCTCCTGCACAACCTGAGGTTTTGGCCCAGAACTTGCAGAGGCGACGCTGCAGGGTGGTGGAGGAAGGGCCTAGATGCATTAACCCTTCTATGCGGTGATGACTAATGCGGTGATTAGTCAATGTCTGCAACAACTGTTTATCTGCAGAGAGTTGCCAACCCCAGCCACAAGAACAGTGCAATCAACCCGCTACCTTCATCTTTCCTATGAACCCGCAGGACAGGGCCCAGCAGAAGACTCCCCAGTGACACATTAGGGTGCCTCCCTTGGTAAGGGAAGCAACAGAAGCCACAGTAACGCCATCCATTCCACAGCAGCAGGAGGAGGCATGGCCCCCAAACTCTCAGGTGTGACTGCTGGGCTCCCTGTACCCCAGGAAGCAGTGTTCAGAAGGAGAGGCCCTGGCTGGCTCCCTGCTTCCTAAGGAGCTCACTCTGCAGGCCGTGCCACTATGCATAGCTCTCCGCCCCACTCATCACGTGCAGTCATCAGACTCACAGCACACAGCTGGGCTCTTTTCTAATTCCCGCCTGTGTCACAGGAGTTCCTCTTCTTTGGTAACTGGCTTCTGTTGTTCACAAGTAACCTGTAGGAAACCAAGCCAGTGAAAAGGCACAGTAGATGCACCTGAGACAGGGACTGTACTATATTAGGACGGTCCTAAAATTGGCCAAATAATGGAAAGAAGGTGGGGTGAGGGTTCTGGCACTTCCCAGTGGGGAGATCTTGGAGCAAATTGCATACATTCTCTGACCCTCTGTCTCTTTATCTATGAAATGAACCCAATAATAGAACTGTGGAAGATGCCTGGTGTTTTATCTTCTTCAGATTAAAGGGCCCTGGTTTCTTTTGGGAGTACCATCCCCTCTGACTCCGTCCATATGTTATGAATGGGGTAGACCTTACTCCTACCCCCAAGCACTTGGGGTATACACATGACCCAGCTCAGGCCAATCAATCTAGTCTACCTCCCTGGTTCAGATGAACATGTGGGCAAAGCTAGTCCACTGAGAGCGAATGCTGGACCCATTGGGCAAGGGCACTTTCTTTGGACTTTGCTTTCTAGGCTGGTAGGATATAAGCCAGAGCTACTAGTGGGCATCGTGGCCACTTCATAGAGCATTTCTGCTGAGGACAAAGTCAATACAAAGGAAGGCAAAGCAATGAAGAGAATGAGAGGGAGTTCAAGCACATCATTTGGCCACCTGGATCTAGCCAGGCCTAAAGCTATCAAGGTTTATCCCAAGGACATTTTTCATTATCCTTATCCAATAAAACTGGCTTGGACATCAGGGAGAGCTGAGTCAGGTTACTGTCACCTGCACCCTCACTAGGTAACTCTACCTAAGCAAGTGATATGAGGATCCAATGAGAATGCTGTAAAATCACAGAGCCCAATGTGGTGCATAGTAAGTGCTCAATAAATACTCACTGTCATTTGGGGGGCTCAGCTGAAATAATGCACCTGAAGTGCTTCTCCAGCTGCTCGCACAGGGTGGGCACTTATTCAACTCATCATAGTTGTTGCTTCTCCACAGGAGCCACCTTGAGCTCCAACTCATCCAGCCAGATGCCCAACCAGCCAGCAGGCTCATATGGCCGAAGCCCCACATTTCGGGCTCCAGAGGTGAAACATCATAAATGGGAAGATCATTTTGTTATTGGTTAAGTCATAGAAAACTCTAAAGGGTAACCAATCGGTTGCTGCAGAAGCTGAACTTTTTCAAAAGGAAAACAAAGGGCCAAGGAGAAACTTCATCTTGTTTTGAAAATCCCAATTTAGATGCTGCCAAGAGTTATGCGTGACACACAACCCCATGACATCTTGATGACAGAAAGATTTAATAATTACTTTTCTTTAAAGGTTGATGTACTAAACCACTCTTCCAAAAATACCCGCGAAGGGGAGAGTGGGAGCAGATGGAAAGTGACACAGTGCGTCAACTGCCCACGTGATTTCACAGCATCAGCAGCCAGGAGAAGTCAGCCGGCAAGTAATCGAGCTGCCATCTTTGGATCCAGCCACCACTGGCAGATTTCACTTGTACCTGCTGCAGAAAGCTCCATCCTCTAAGACAAAAGCATAAAATCTGATGAGAGAAAACATTACAGAATGAATGTTGCTGGGGAAACTCTTTAAAAATGATCTTTTGACGGCTTCTGAATTCTCCCAAGGCCTAGGCATGGGCAGGCAACTTGTGACATGGGTTTCATCTTGTTGGGGTAAGGGCAGGAGGAAGGTAAAAAATTAACACTTATTGATTAGGTACCGTATAAGTCTCTCCTTTAATCTTCATGCCCATCCCATGAGATAGGTAATTAGTAAACCCACTGTACAGATACTGAATGCAAAATGGTTAAGCAATGTACTTAAGGTCACAAATAGAAATGACAAGGGCCGTCTGACAGACTCCAAAACTTGTATGCCAAACACTACTACTACCCTACATCTCTTTCTTTTATCTCCTCCTCTTCCAATTCTTTGTCTCTCCTTTTATTCTCTATCTATAAAAACAGATTGTTTCCTTTTCAAAAACTGTTTGAGGGGAGGACACAGGAAAGAAAGAAGGAAAGTTGGTCTAGCCAGGCCACCAGTCCTCAAAAGGAGAGACAAAGATAACCACTATTTCCATGGTTTTCCTCTCTTTTCTTCTTTCAAATGTTTGGAGTCTGTGAGGGGTCCATGCTAATGAGAACTTTCCAATCAAGCAAGATCAAAGAAGCAGGAGAATGAACTTGAAGTTACCATAATAACTGCTAACATTTTTTTACCTATGTACTTACTATCTGCCTGGCACTCTCTTAATCATTTTATTTTTATTAACTCATAGACTCTCTATACCAATGCTATGAGGTAGGTACCGTTATCATTTCCACTTTACAGATGAGTACTAAGGCCCAGAGAGGTGAAGCCCTGTGGCCAGGATGGCCCAACTGATAAACAGTACAAACCAAAGTAGGTGGCTCCAGAGCCCATGAGGGAATCCACCACATTAGTCCCTGATGGGTAAGCATGTCCCATAAGCTATGTTCATCCTAGGCTTCAGGCACATCTGGACCAGAGAGTTTTGCCTGAAGATACAAGGAGTCCAGGAAAGGAGAAGAGATGACACAGTAAGCCAGGATGGGGACGGAGCTCTGCCTACAGCGACCATCAACCCATCTCCCAGCCCAGTCCCCAGAGACTCATGAGAGCCTTGGCAATGCAAGGTAAAGTAACAGAGTCATTAACACTAAAGTGCTGGAACCCTGGGCAGACGTAATTGCTACCAGAGTCAGCACCCTAATGCAGACATCGTCCTCTGCCCCCTGCATGCTGGTTAGCCAGGCACAGATGGCAACAGGAGCCACCACAGAACTGGAGGCAGAACTATGGCTGGTAGCATACCTGAGACAAGAGAACTGGAGTGGCAGAGGTGACAGGTGCTTGGGGATACCAAGAGGAGAGCAGACAAGTACATGAGTCCTTTGGGGAGGGCTGGTGTTCCCATAGAATGCATGAGGTAGGGAAGGAGAAATTCTTATTTGTCCCTATCATAAAGACAATACTTTTGCCCCAGGCTGGTGTAATCTAGGAAGTAGGGTGATATTTATCCAGAAAAAAGAAAACAAAAATAAAAATCAAATGTCAGACAGGTATGCATGCACATGTACACACACACACACACACACACACACACACACACACCTGAGTTTTGTCTCTTCATTTATAAGTTTAATGCATGTGGACATTTTCTTCTTCCCTGAGTCACTGAGTTATTTGAAAAAGTACAGAAGAAACTCTTAACTGTTGTGGTCATTTCTTTAGTTTGCCTGAATGGAGAACCTCATGGGAGAGCCTTTTAGGAGAGAACCGCTTGGAGCAAACCGCTGAGACTCAGCTCATAAAATTCATCGTGCCTGGTTAAGGTCCTACGACA